ACACAGGGTTGCCACAAACCTCCACTTTGTAAAACATGCGACATCTGCAAAGCATAATAAAGTGAAGCGCAATAAAACAAAGTATGCCTGTAGTTACGCAACTTGACTATTGCAACTGATATCACTAAGCTGTACACTAGAAAAATTTTTTAAAGGGGGGCAAAACGACAAATAAAATCTTACATTTAACTTTACAACAAAAATTTAGCAGCCAAAAAAAAAAGGGGCTGCAGCTGTTGATACTACTTAAACAAATAAACACTTCATGGGATTAGTTTTCTTGGTTCAAAGGTTTGGGGTGATGGTCTTGTGGGCTTGTCCAGTCAACTGGCCTAATACTATTTTGAGAGTTTCTGCTCTTCCTCTCAGTTCAGTGGCTAATGCCTGGGGTGTTAAAAGCTTGCAAGCAGTCACAGAAGATACAACAACTGGTCTCTAATCACCTGAAGCAACAGAGGAAGAAAGATTCAGGAAGCTTAGAAGGAAATGGATGGTGCCAGGCTACTATTACTGAACATTTTGATCAGGGACCCAATAGATGGATCTTGACCAAAAGGAGGAAAACTGAGGAACCGAATTTCAAATTCTTATTGGAAACCAGACTTACTGGACACACGGAGATTAGAGGGACCATTCAATCTACTGTAGGAAACAACTTTTTAATCTTGAGCTAAAACTACCCATGAAGTCATCTTTAAACAACAATTTAGCTCAATAAATAATCTGTCTTCAGCATTGCACCCTATTGAAGAACTGCCTACCATATATGAGATTGTAATGACAACAGTAACTCTAAAGCACAGATGAGAATTTTAAGAGGCAGAGAGTATAAATTAACGGTGATGAAACATTAAGGGCAGAGACAGTGGAAATGGTGACATAATGTGAACTACACATGTAAAAACTGTTGAATGGGCATATGTTTTATTGTGTATATTTTCACTAAAAATAAAATAGTAATAGTAATTTGAGAAAGAAGAGAGGAAAAAACAAGAGCCTCAAGGTGAGTTACAGGGAATGTGTAAGGAATATGTGCCATCTGTCTCATAGAAAAAAAAAAGAAATGATGAAAGTTAGAAGTGTGTACTTGATCCAGAGGACTCTGAAGAGTCACTAAAACAAAGAGTAGAAACAGGCATGAAAAACAACTTTGTCGTCAGTATGCAGGCTGCTTTATAGTGCCAAAAAAATAAATCAGCAGAGGCTAGCCAAATGGTCTCATGCTGTTACCAAAGAGGAGAGACCACTGTGATAAAGTTAATTGAAAGAAAAGAATATAATGGTAGCTGTTGTAAATTTTGTTTTTAGAAGTCACTATAACAAAAGTCTAAATTATAATCGAGACTATGAATCTGAATATTTCAAGAAGGGAAAACAAATTATTAATACCACAGGCTCAAGAACTACCAACAGCCTTTGGTCCTAAATCTAAATGAAAAGGAAGATTAATTCTGTAATATCAACTTTTTAGTTTCAAAATGTATATATCTGTGCCATTTGAGACACTGCAAGAGTTATTATGGAGGAGTTAAATAGTATGATATGATGCTGGCAAGAAAATGACTTGCTACCCCCTCTCAATCCACACTGAAGCAGAGATTAAATCATGTTTCCTATCCAACACTCCTTCTACTAAAAAACAAGGCTGACTTACGATACAACAAAAAGCCAAGCCAAAGCACCTCTCCCCACCAGTATTCTAAAACTTCTTTCTTGGGTTTAATTCTCTTTACAACCCAAAAAACGAAACCAAGTGGGGTAAAAACTAGAGGACCTCCAAAGTCAGACTTATCTGAGACTGAACTGCAGACCTGTGCTCTTCAACTGCACGATGCACAACCCCAGGTGAACATGTTATACTAGGGCACTCAAAGCCACAGGATGAAAATGGTGCACCTGCCTAGACTGCCAAATTTACAAGACAATTTGGGAGGGAAAGATGTTTAAAATAAGTGAAAAAACGATGTAAAATGCAAACTTTTCCATGAATTCTTAAAGATAGAACGCCCACCTGTCAAGCTGATTACGACTCATAGCAACCCTATAAGACAGGGTAGAACTGCTCCAGTGGGTTTCCAAGGCTGTAAATCTCTACAGAAGCAGATTGCCACATCTTTCTCCTGAGGAGCGGCTGGTGGGTTTGAACTACAGACCTTTAGGTTAGCAGCAGAGCACTTAACCACTGGGCCACCAGGACAGGAAACTATAAAGATATCTCCTACTTGTGAATGAGCTGCTTTGAACTCCACCCACAAGATGTGGGAAGAGAAGGCTGAAGGATTTATGGGCTCGCTCTCTGTTGCCACCGAGGGAAATGTTCAAAGAATATCAAGTCCTATGTTCTTTTCACCACTCCAATATTCACCAGTGAAGCCACATGCACTTTCTTTGTTCCATACAGAACATTCTGTTTATACTATCCTAGTCCAAGGCCTTACAACCTCAACTGGAATGATTGTAAAAGTTTATCTCAATGTTAAAAGTGCTCTTCATCCAACAAAAGGATGTTGTCAGATTAACCTTCTTCATATACCTTCACCTCTGAATCAAACAAACACCACGAGTAACAACAGCTACCATTATTGAGTGCCTACTATGGACCAAGTACTTTACATTCATTATCTCATTTAACCTCCAAAATTCTATAAAGTAGAAGCTCTATTTTACAGACACCAAGGTAACTGAGCTAAAAAGCAGCAGAGCTAGGACTTCAGCCATGTTTATTTGACTCAAAAGCCTACTATGCTATTTATTGAGAAGCTACTATGTCCAAGGAGTCCCTGGATGGCACCAACGGTTAAGTGCTCGGGTACTAACCAAAAGGTTGGCAGTTTGAATCTACCCAGAGGCACCTCTGAAGAAAGACCTTATGAAAGATCATAGCCATTGAAAACCACATGGAGCACAGTTCTACTCTGAAACGCATGCGGTTACCAAGAGTCAGAATCGACGTAACAGCAACTGGTTTGGTTTGGTTACTATGTCCAAACCATTGTGCTGAACATTAAGTGGAATACATTTTCAATTTTATGCTCAAAACATTTCAAGACTTCCCACTGCCTAAAAAACAAGCTCAAATTAAAAAAAACAAAATGGCACTGAAGACATAATTTCCAGCACTGAAAATTCTGTTATAGCCAAGCAAAATTATTCAATATTCCCCAAACATAAACCTCTCAGTGAACTCTGGCTCATATGGTTCATCTCAGTCTAGGAGGATAACACCTCACACCTTCACATATAGATTCTCGATCTCTCCTTTAAGGCCAAACTTAAGGCACATAACCTTTATGAAACCTTCTCTAATTGTTTAGGTTCATAAATGACAGCCCCCTAATATGGGCCACTTAAAAAGCAATGAAAAATGATAGGTATGATTTTCAGTTATCCACTTAACAGTCTAACTTCCTTCAGCACAAAAACTGTACTCTACTTTTCTCTTCCTTAGATAGACACATATGGGCAGTCACTCAACTCTCAGTCTAATGTTCTTTCCACTGTCTCACTCAGGCATATATTAACTACACATTTCAAAACAAAGGTTAGGCACATGATTTATCATTTTGCTTGTACTCAGCTGGCTCCCTTTCCACCTGCAGCTGCTCCAAGTCCTTATTCCTGTCCTTCAGAACACTGTTCTACACATCCCGCCTCATTCTCACCAAAAGACCTAAGCTTCGTGTGTAATAAGAAAGCAGAAGTCATCATGTGTGAACTCTTCCACCATTCCTCCCCTTCCACTTAGAAGTATAGCTGTATTTTCACCATCTTAACCTGTTTCTCCTGTCTCAGTGTGTCCTTATTGTTTTCCCAAATTAATTTTTCTACCATGTTCCTGATCACATCCTCTCTTAAGAGTTCAAGCTCTCATTCTGTTTTACTCTTTTTTCATATCTTCAATCTCTCCCTCTCTAAAGCTCTTTCTCTTCAAACAACAAACATGCTCATCTCTTCATTTATTTTATTCCTAAATGTTTGTTTAACTCACTTTACCCATCCAAAAACCCAGTCATCAAGTCGATTCCAACTCATAGTGACCCCACAGGGTTTCCAAGGTGGTAAACCTTTAAGAAAGCCAACTGCAACATCTTTCTCCCACAGTAACTTACTATAAGCCAGGTACTATTCTCAGTGCTAGCATTACAGATAAGGTCTTTGCTGTCACACAGCTTATATTCCAGTGGGTCAGACTGACAACAAACAAGAAATAATTGAAAATGATGGTTTCTGGCAAAGTTAAGTGCTATGAAGAAAATAAAACAGGGTGATTCAACTGAGGTAGAGTTGGAGAGAACAGAATGAGGGGGTGAATCTGTTTAGACTGGTTGTTTTAAGAAGTCCTCACTGGCAAGGTAACATTTAAGTGATGACTGAAAGTCAGGAAAGAGTCAGCCACGTGAAAATCTGGGAGCAAAACAATCTAAGATAGAGAAAACAAAAAACTTCAAAGGCCCAGGGAGCAACCACCTTGATTAATGAGAGAAAAGGGGACTTGTGACTGAAACATAATGAACCAAGCAGGGCAGTAGTACAAAATGAAGTCTCAGTGGTAGGCAGGAAGCAGGTCAGATATGCCATGGGGAAGGAGTTTGGATTTTATTCTATGTGCAACAAGAAGCTACTGGAAGATCTTAAGCAGAAATTTGACCTTTTCAAACTTTAAAGATACAAAAATACTACCAGTGTCTTTAGGTTGACAGAATTATTGTCTGCATAGCTAGAAATTATTATGCACTCTCCAACCTGTTAAAGTTAGAAAAATTTAATAGGAGAAATTGCCTCAACATCTGTATTTAACGCTACATCAAATATATACTAGTTTTAAATGAAAGGTAAAGTTAGAGGGTAGTGAACAAATAAATGTAGTCAACAAACTTGATAAACCCCACTTTCCCACAGATTTTTTTTTTCATTTGTTGAAATAGTTTAGAAATCACAATCAAGGTTTCCTTTTACCCTTTTCCAGATTCTTAATTTCTAATCCAAAAATTCTAACTCACCTCGACAAGCTTCTTCAAAATCTTGGGTTATGTCCACCCAGCTTGTATTGCTTTTTTCCATTTTTTCTGGTATACTGAGCTCCCATCCTGAATCATCATCTTCTACAGGAGCTTTCATAACCATTATGCCTGTAAAATCAACACTGGTGTCAAAAAGATCTACCTTTCAGGGCAAGAATATTTGCAACACATGTGTTTTTGTTTGTTTTTAAAGTACTGGATTAAAGTCTTACCAAACTAAGCAAAACTCTTCCGAGTATGAGAATGGTACTGCAAAAAATTACCTTAAACCAATTCATCTTACAATAAGTAACACTACTCATTTATTAATAACCCACCACCTACCAGGGTTCATAAAAGAGTTTGCTTTTTCAAGAGTTTGATTTTTTTTTTGCGAAAAATCACAAACCATCACACCGCTGGCCCAAACAGAACCAACTCCAGAACCTGCAACTTTCAACACTGGCCACAACCAACCAAGGTCCTATTTGGAGCACCCTCTTGCAGCCCAAGACCCCAAGCGGCAGCTACTCAAGTCAAGGAAGCCCCTTATCTACCCGAAGCTCGCTGGGCCAACCTTTTCCTGGTAGGGGCAGGACACCGGCACAGCTTCGCGGGGAACAAGGCGTGGGCGATCACCGCAGGGTCCCACCTGCTGGGCCCAGGGCGGGGACGCACCTGAGGCGGGGACTCGCACCAGGTCCGCCCGGCCCGGCCCCGGCCCGACAGGGCGCGGAAGCAAGGACAGCGCTGTCGCCGCGCGGGAGGGCGGGCATGCCGGATGCCAGTTCGTCGTCCTGGTAACACCGGGCGAGGCCTGGGCCTCCGCGGGCACCGGGCAAGGGGAAGCCCGCGGCTCCTACCTGAGGCGCGGCGGGAGGGCCGGGGCCGCAGGGTGACCTGGCGTCCCCAAGGTCTGCCACACGCGCTGGGGGCTGGGGCTCTCGGAACCGGGAAGGAGGGGGTCCCAATGGCTCCGCAAAGGTGGTCCCTACCTACTTCTCCCGTGGCCACCCGCGCCGCCACGCACAGTCCTGACCGCGGAAATAACGACGCCGCCTCTGCCGCGGCCGCCCCCTCCCCTCTCAGCCCAGCCCGACCGGCGGCTTCCGCGCATGCGTACGCCCGGTGCGCGCGACCCCGCCCCCTCCCCCTTACTCCCGGGGACTTCGCGCTCCTCTACCACACCCCCTCCCTCGCCACAGCCTTGGTTCGGCCGACGGCGACCGCCTTCTCTTCTCGCGGGATTAAATGAATCTCGCGAGAACAAAGATATGTTCTTTCCCTACCCTTGGGCCAAGTGAGGGGTAGTAGGTGGGTCCCAGTAGGGGGCGGGGCCTGGGCCTCGGAAGCACCCCTCCTGGCGCGGCTCTTTTGGAATTCTTAGAAAGGTGATGGGAAGGCCCGAGAAAGCAATGTAGTAAACTGTAAACCCCGGTAGTTTCCCCGATGACCGTGTAGCCCTACTCCAAGAGCACCACCAAGCTACTGCTGCCTGATTGACACCGGATTTATGTTTCCTAAACAGCGCCTGGGGATTTAATGAAGGAAAACAGAAAGGAAATATCATCGGAGTTAAGCCAGCCATTGTCTTTCAGACTCTAACATGTTATACGTTTTCCTTTAAATTTATTACTAAATGGACTACATAAATAGAGTGGCAGGAGTAAGAAACGTACCTATACCACCACATACCCATTAGAAGCGTCAAAATTTAGAAGAGAATACCAACTGTTGGTGAGGACGTGGAGCAACTGAAGTACTCATGCATTTCTGGTGGAAACGCAAAATGGTACAACCACTTTGGAAAATAGTTTTTTATTGTAAAGTTAATCGTACACTTACCATATGATCCAGCAATTCCACTCCTAGGTAATTACCTAGGAAAGAAAGCATGTATCCACACAAAGACTTGTACATTAATGTTTATAGCAGGTTTAGTCATTAAAAAAAAAACTAAAAACAACCCAAATGTTCATCAACTGGGGAGAGGATAAACAACTTGTGGCATGTCAATACAATATAATGGATACTCATTGTCATTAGAAAGGGATGAACTGTTTGTACTGCAAGAACATGGATAAAACTCAAAAACGTGCTAAAGAAACCAGACAGTAAAGAGTATATGAAACTTTAAAAAAAGACAAACTATAGTTAGTGACATATCAGTAGTTTACAAGGGGGTCGGGAGAGGATTGACTGGGATATGGGTGGGTGATTTGAGATGATGGAGTTGTTCTCTATCTTGATCATGGCCGTAGTTACCAGTTTGTAAAACCTCTTTAAAAAACCATTTTCCCTAGAGAAAGAGAGGTTTATGACATCCAATATGCTTCATAGTGTGTTAAAAATGACATTTTAGACATAGACTATATGATGAGTTGATGGATACAAAGGAACTAATTGGCAATGAGCTGGACTACCAAAACAAGCCTATAATATAGATAGAGTAGATGGGTATTTTTGGAAAGCTGAAAACAAATTCCTAAATCTTGTTGTTGCTAGTATGTAAAATCCTAAGTATTCCAGGCTTAAACACTTACGTTGAGAGAATATTTAGCTTGTCATCACATTGTACTGACTCCAGGAGCCAATATAATGTGGATTTGATAAATGCAGAAATACAAGTCAAAGTGAATTTTATATTTGACTGTACTCAGTTCTACCACTACATTAAAAAAAAAAGTATATTTTAAAGGCTGCAGAGAGTGCAAACAAATATTTTTAGAAAAGGAACAGGAAGAGTAAAAATATCCTACTGTATCATAGGACAAGCAAAGATGTCACCTTGAAGACTAAGGTGCACCTGACCCAAGCCATGGTGTTTTCAATCGCATCATATGCATGTGAAAGCTGGACAATTAACAAGGAAGACCGAAAAAGAATTGACACCTTTGAATTATGGTGTTGGCAAAGAATATTGAATATACGATGGACTGCCAGAAGAACAAACAGGTCTACCTTGGAAGAAGTACAGGCAGAATGCTCCTTTAGAAGCAAGGATGGCGAGACTACGTCTTACGTACTTTGGACATGTTGTCAGGAAAGACCAGTCCCTGGAGAAGGACATCATGCTTGGTAAAGCAGGAGGTCAGCGAAAAAGAGGAAGACCCTCAACAAGATGGACTGACACAGTGGTTGCAACAATGGGCTCAAGCATAACAACTGTGAGGATGGCGCAGAACGCACAGTGTTTCGTTCTGTTGTTCATAGGGTCGCTATGAGTCAGAACAGACTCGACGGCACCTAACAACAGCAACAGCATCATGGGACAGAAAGAAACATGGTATTGTTACTTTTTATTAAATATAGGTAACATCTGTTTAATTAGTCCTATTCTGGAACTCTGGTGGCACAGTCCTTAAGAGCTATGGCTGCTAACCAAAAGGCTAACAGTTTGAATCCACCCGCCGCTCCTTGGAAGCCCTATGGGGCAGTTCTACTCTATCCTGTAGGGTTGCTATGAGTCAGAATGGACTCATGGCAATGGGTTGCTGTTTTTTTTAATTGTAATTGTAATACAGTCTCCTTTTAAAAAGTCTCACATTTACATGTCTTAGTGCACAATAATCCAAAAAGAGTTACGAAAAAGTTAAAATAAATTGCTGTTTCAGGGATAATTATACATATATAACATTATTTATAATTTATGTAATGTTTATAACATGTCAGCATTACAAAAATATTCTATTTTTCTCATATTTTTAATTAGTTACTGCTACTATTAATTACTAATTGCTACTGTTAAGAAATCCTATTGTTGCTTTGTTTAAATAACAGCATTAATGCAATGGGAATTAAATGATAGAGAATATGTAATTTCAAATAAACATCTTTTTTCATAATTTTGTGTTAATATAATAGTGCAAATGTGTATAATTATTTATTATATAATTTTTTTTTTCCTAATATGACTATGACCTGTGTTGGCTCTCTAAAAAGATGACCACCTGACTTCATTAAGTGAATGTATCATAATTTATTCAACCATTTCTCTACTGATGGACATTTAGATTGTTTCCAGGGTTTTACTATTAAAAATAGTGTTACCATCAATATCTGTGTGCATATGCCTTTTCATAGTTTTGCCACTGTATCTTTTGATTACATTCCTATAAGTAGAATTTTGGGGTCAAAGTGTAGCAGAAACCAAAAAACCCACTGCCATCAGTCGATTCCGACTCACAGCGATGCTATAGGACTAAAGTAGAACAGCCCCATAAGGTTTCCAAGGCAGTAAATCTTTACGGAAGCAGACTGCCACATCTTTCTCCCATGGAGCGGCTGGTGGGTTCGAACTGCAGCGTTTTGGTTAGAGGCTGAGTGCTTTAAGCGCTCAGGGCTCCTCTCTAAGTGTACATGAATGTATAATTTTACCGTTGCCAAATTCATCTCCACAGAGTTTGTTCCATTTCTCATTTCCACCAGCAATGGATAAGAAGTGCTCATTTTCCTATAGCCCCACAAATACAGTATGTAGTTGAACTTAGAGTTTTTACAAACTGGTGATAAAAATAATATCATGGTACTTTTAATGTAGTTTTAATTTGCATTTTCTTATTATGAGTGAAGTGGAGAATCTTTCTATCTTTACAAGGGGCATTTGCATATATTTTCCTGTGATCTGTCTAGCCCATTCTATAGAAATATTGATCATTTTTTATGTTATTTTTCTTTTGTTGGCTTTTTGTTTTTATCACATAAAAGTATTTTTTACTCAAATTTATCAGTAGATATTGAAAGCTCATAGGAAGATGGTGTCAAGAGGCTATCAGGCTCAAAACTGAGTCCTGAGAATACCAACATTTAGAGATCAGCTGGTGGGAGAGGCGCTAGTAAAGGACTCTGAACAGGAGAAAAACCAAGGAAGTTACAGTCTCTGAATCCGAGAGAGACATTAACTCCCATTATTCCCATAATGACAACACATATACATAATATAGCTTATAACATTTTTGTTTTCCTTGTAAAAAGAAACCTTTTCAAACTCATTTTCATAAACAGATGTCAGGCAAATTCCTGGCACTTCTCAATATGTGAATTGTTTAATAAAAAAGATTAGCTACATATGTCAATTTCTTACTTTTCATTAATGAATTATCATGCATAAATGTTGAAACTCTTTTAAACCTCTATCCAAACGGAAGTGAATGTAAGAGACATATTAACTAAATGCATATAAAATATGAAAATAATGAATTAGAAAATAAATCTGGTAAAGAAATACTGAAAGAAAAACCTTATAAATTAGATAAACTTTAGATCCCAACTCAAATAAATTGTAAACAATTTGTAACTATTGAGAGAAAATTTGAACACTGACTGGATAGCTGGTATTATTAAGAAGTTGTAACAAAAAATTTTAAGTATGATTATTGTAGTAATCTTTAAAAAAACCTTCATTTTCTAAAAGAAATTCACACTGAAATATTTATATATGAAAAGGTGTTATGCCTGGTATTTGCTTTAAAGTCATCCAGTGGTGCTGGGGCTGGATGAATAGAGTAATCAGGAATGGGAGATAATTGGTAAAGATGGTGATAGATGTAGGAGTTTGTTATACTGTTCTTTCTATTTTTGCATATGTTTAATTTTTTCATAATAAAAACTTTTTTTTATTATTATACTTTAGATGAAGGTTTACAGAACAAACTAGCTTCTCATTAAACAGTTAGTACACATATTGTTTTGTGACATTGGTTAACAACCCCACAACATGTCAGTACTCTCCCCTTCTCCACCTTCGGTTCCCTATTACCAGCTTTCCTGTCCCCTCCTGCCTTCTAGTTCTTGCCCCTGGACAGTTGTGCCCCATTAGTCTAATGTTTTTAAACATTTCATTAAAATAATCATTGGGTGTATTTCTTTCTTTTTCATCCTTTACTTTTTTGTTGTGGTAAATATATATGTAACAAAACATTTGCCATTTCAACATACTTCACATGTACAGTTC